TTTAGGAAACCTCAAGCGCTCCCAGTAATTGAGGTGTTTTATCTTCCGTTATGCGCGCCGTGAAAGTTCTCTGAACATTTTCTAGGTCGGCAATTTCACCTGCCTTGAAAGGTGCTGTTAGTGTGCAGCAATATTCCAGCCTAGATAGAACAGTGACCTGAAGAGTGTCATCATGGGTTTGGCCTCCCTAGTTTTGAAGGTTCTCATTATCCATCCTGTCATTTTTCTAGCAGATGCGATTGATACAATGTTATGGTCCTTGAAGGTGAAATCCTCCGACATGATCACTCCCAGGTCTTTGACGTTGGTGTTTCGCTCTATTTTGTGGCCAGAATTTGTTTTTGTACTCTGATGAAGACTTAATTTCCTCATGTTTACCATATCTGAGTAATTGAAATTTCTCATCGTTGAACTTCATATTGTTTTCTGCAGCCCACTGAAAGATTTGGTTGATGTCCGCCTGGAGCTTTGCAGTGTCTGCAATGGAAGACACTGTCATGCAGATTCGGGTGTAATCTGCAAAGGAAGACACGGGCTGTGGCTGACATCCTTGTCTATGTCGGATATGAGGATGAGGAACAAGATGGGAGCGAGTACTGTGCCTTGTGGAACAGAGCTTTTCACCGTAGCTGCCTCGGACTTTACTTTGTTGACGACTACTCTCTGTGTTCTGTTAGTGAGGAAATTATAGATCCATCGACCGACTTTTCCTGTTATTCCTTTAGCACGCATTTTGTGAGCTATTACGCCATGGTCACACTTGTCGAAGGCTTTTGCAAAGTCTGTATATTTTTACATCTGCATTCTTTTTGTCGTCTAGTGCATTTAGGACCTTGTCGTAGTGATCCAATAGTTGAGGGCAGACAGGAGCGACCTGTTCTAAACCCATGTTGCCCTGGGTTGTGTAACTGATGGGTTTTCTAGATGGGTGGTGATCTTGCTTCTTAGGACCCTTTCAAAAATTTTTATGATATGGGATGTTAGTGCTATTGGTCTGTAGTTCTTTGCTGTTGCTTTACTGCCCCCTTTGTGGAGTGGGGCTATGTCTGTTGTTTTTAGTAACTGTGGGAGGACCCCCGTGTCCATGCTCCCCCTCCATAGGATGGAAAAGGCTCGTGATAGGGGCTTTCTTGCAGTTCTTGATGAACACAGAGTTTCCATGAGTCTGGCCCTGGGGCAGAGTGCATGGGCATGTCATTTATCGCCTGTTCGAAGTCATTTGGCGTCAGGATAACATCGGATAGGCTTGTGTTAATCAAATTTTGTGGCTCTCTCATAAAAAAATCATTTTGATCTTCGACTCTCAGTCTGGTTAGCGCCTTGCTAAAAACTGAGTCATATTGGGACTTGAGTAGCTCACTCATTTCCTTGCTGTCATCTGTGTAGGACCCATCTTGTTTAAGTAGGGGCCCAATACTGGACGTTGTTCTCGTTGTTCACTTTCTAGGCTATTCCAGAAATACTCCCTAACATCCCTTTGATTCTTCTGAGTCTTCAACTTCCAATTGTGACCTCTTGTTTCTGTGTCCCATCTCTGGAACATCCCGTCTTTGTCCACCTTGTCTATTCCGTGCAGTATTTTATATGTCGTTATCATGTCTCCCCTGACCCTCCTGTCCTTCAGTGTCGTCAGGCCGATTTCCCTCAACCTTTCTTCGTAGGACAGTCCCCTTAGCTCTGGGACTAGTCTTGTTGCAAACCTCTGCACTTTTTCTAATTTCTTGATGTGCTTGACCAGGTGTGGATTCCAAACTGGTGTTGCATACTCTAGTATGGGCCTGACGTAAATGGTATACAGAGTCTTGAACGATTGCTTACTGAGGTATCGGAACGCTATCCGTAGGTTTGCCAGACGCCCGTATGCTGCAGCAGATATCTGACTGATATGCGCCTCAGGAGATATGCTCAGTGTTATACTCACCCCCAGATCTTTCTCCTTGAGTGAGGTTTGCAGTCTTTGGCCGTCTAAACTATATTGTGTCTGTTGTCTTCTTTGCCCTTCCCCAATCTTCATGACTTTGCATTTGGCAGGGTTAAACTCGAGGAGCCAGTTGCTGGACCAGGCTTGTAGCCTGTCCAGGTCTCTTTGTAGTCCTGCCTGATCCTCGTCCAATTTGATTTTTCTCATTAACTTCACATCATCTGCAAATTACACTTCTGAGTCTATCCCTTCCGTTATGTCATTCATATATACCAGAAACAGCACAGGTCCTAGTACCGAACCCTGTGGAACCCCGCTTGTCAAAGGCGCCCACTCTGACATCTCGTCACGTACCATGACTCGTTGTTGCCTCCCTGTCAGTGCCTTTCCTGTTATGTGTGCCTGATCCTCTAGCTTTTGCAGTATCCTCTTGCGAGGAACTGTGTCGAAGGCCTTCTTGCAGTCCAAAAAAATGCAGTCTGTCCACCCCTCTCTCTCTTGTCTTACTTCTGTCATCTTGTCATAAAACTCCAGTAGGCTTGTGACATAGGATTTTCCTTCCCTGAAACGTGCTGGTTGTCAATTATACACTTGTTTCTTTCCAGGTGCTCCACCACTCTCCTCCTGACGATCTTCTCCATGACTTTGCATACTATACACGTTAGTGATACAGACCTGTAGTTTAGTGCCTCATATCTGTCTCCCTTTTTAAAAATTTGGACTACATTTGCCATCTTCCATACCTCAGGAAGTTACCCAGTTTCAATGGATGTGTTGAAGATCTTTGTTAATGGCACACACAGCATATCTGCTCCCTCTCTAAGGACCCACGGAGAGATGTTGTCTGGTCCCACCGCCTTTGAGGTGTCAAGTTCACATAGCAGCTTCTTCACCTCCTCCTTGGTTATATGTACCTCATCCAGCACTTGTTGGTGTACCCCCCTGTTCTGATTTCCTGGAGTCCTACTGGTTTCCACTGTAAATACTTCTTTAAATCTCGTGTTGACTCCTCACATACCTCTTGGTCGTTTCTTGTGAACTCCCCATCACCCTTCCTCAGTCTGATTACCTGGTCCTTGACTGTTGTTTTCCTCCTGATGTGGCTATACAACAGCTTCGGTCAGACTTGACTTTCGATGCTATGTCATTTTCATATTGTCGCTGAGCCTCCCTTCTTATCTGTGCATATTCGTTTCTGGCTCTTCGGTAAAACTCTTTAATTTCCTGAGTTTCTCTGTCTTCTGTACCTTTTCCATTCTCTAGTACACCTAGTTTTTGCCTCCCTACACCTTTGGGTGAACCAAGGACTCGTTCTGTTCTTCCCATTATTTCTGTTTCCCTTTGGGGAAAAAACCTCTCCTCTGCCTCCCTTTCATTTTGTTGCATATAGTCCATCATTTCTTGTACTGGTTTTCCTGTCAGTTCCCTCTCCCACTGAATGTCTTGCAGGAAGTTCCTCATGCCTGAGTAGTTCCCCCTTTTGTAGTTTGGTTTTTCCCATCCTTTTCCTGCTACTCTCTCCACTTGGAGCTCAACTATATAGTCAAAGCACAGAACCATATGATCACTAGCTCCTAGGGGCCTTTCATACATGATATCCTCGATGTCCGTGCTACTCAAGGTGAATACAAGGTCCAGTCTTGCTGGATCATCCTCACCTCTCTCTCTGGTAGTGTCTCTAACATGCTGATGCATGAGGTTTTCCAGTACCACATCCAGCATCTTGGCTCTCCATGTTTTGGGACCCCCATGGGGCTCCAAGTTTTCCCAGTCAATCTCCTTGTGATTGAAATCACCCATAACTAGTAACTTTGCTCCCCCCATGTGTGCTCTTTTGGCCACCTCGGCTAGTGTGTCGACCATTGCTCTGTTGCTCTAATCGTATTCTTCTCTTGGCCTCCTGCAGTTCTATGGTGGGTTGTACATTACTACAATTATAACCTTATGTCCCTCAGACTGGATTGTTCCTACTAAGTAGTCCTGTTCGCCCGTGACATCCATTCCTTCCATTTTCTCAAAACCCCACTGGTTTTTAATGAGCAGTGCAACTCCTCCTCCCCCTCTCTTCCCTCTGTCTTTCCTGAGGATTTGATATCCGGATGAGAAGATTGCATCTGTTATTATGCTGGTGAGTTTTGTTTCTGTGAGTGCTATTATGTCTTGGGATGTCTCCTTGATTCTTTCATGCCACTCCTCACACTTATTTGTTATTCCATCTGCATTTGTATACCACACCTTCAACTTCTTTTCTGATAAATTAGACACATGTGCAACTCTTGGGTATCTTTATTGAGGAAACGTTTCGCCACACAGTGGCTTCATCAGTCCATACGTAGGAGAAACTTGAAAAACAGGAGAAGAATGAGGCAATCAGTCCCTCAACCTTGAGTCGATGTGTTCAGTCCATCAATCTTGAATAGATTGATTGACTGAATACATCAACTCAAGGTTGAGGGACTGATTACCTCATTCTTCTCCTGTTCTTCAAGTTTCTCCTACGTATGGACTGATGAAGCCACTGTGTGGCGAAACGTTTCCTCAATAAAGATACCCAAGAGTTGCACATGTGTCTAATTTATCAACATGTCGGTTCTCTGAACCATTCATCTATAAAACTTCTTTTCTAAGACTGTGGTCTGGGAGGTATATTGGGGTTGAGGAAGTGGGGGACCTGATAAGGAACTATGGGTGGTTGCTGTGGGGGTGGAGTTTGTAATGCAGAGGGTGGGGGCATTGGATATGGCATGGGTGTTTTGGCTTAGAATGTTTGTTGCACTGGAGTTGACCTGGTTGGGGGGCTTCTATAGGAAGTTGTGAGGGAGGCTGTATTTGATCTTCTTCCTGGGTCTGGGATCTCCTGTTTGTCTCCTCCATCCCCTCTCTTTCCTCCTTTTGCCTTTGTACCATCTCTCTCAGTTTCTGACTTTCTTCTCGTGTTCTGTCGCGGTCGAGATACACCTTCCTGTATGCCGGCATGTGTGCGTGAGTTCGTGTGTGAGAATATGTCTGTATGTTTGTATCTGTGCATTTCCTTTACACCATAATTTAAAGAAAAAATTTGTATTAATTGTATTTGCAGGTGAGTGTTCATTTTACCAGTCAAGAGAAGAATTTCTGCAGATAATGCTTGCAATGATTGGTCCGAAGAACAGTCCAATTGTGCCAGCCTTAAATAAAAGGTAAAATTAAATACGTATTTTTTCTTGAATAGTTATAAATGAAAACATTTTATTGCACATAAACAATTATTTTCTTGTTTTATTATAAGATAACCATAAGGAAATATTTTGAATAAAAGTTTTTGGCTTTTACTTGAATAGAAAATCATTCATATCCTGAACAACAATTCTTCAGAATATCATCCACAACGTAAACCATACAGAGTATAAACCATACAGAGTATAAACCATACAGAGTATAAACCATACAGAGTATAAACCATACAGAGTATGTGGTCCTCTATACTACACTTGGACATCGTTCTTGTCAAAAGCGGTCGAATACAGGCGATTATAAAACTGGAGACAATAGAAGAGGTGTAGCGGTAATTTTGAGGCGGTTATTCCTTCAGCCTTGAGAGTAATTGGTCAATTCGATATTAGGCAGAGGCATAAAGCATGAAAATAATATTCTTCAGCTAGACGTAAGGTGTAGCAGCTGGAGATGGTATCATAGAGAAATGGGGCCCAATAGTAGAAGTAGGTCTAGCAGACATTTTAATTGATAACAAGAGTTGAAAGATATTTCTCTTATACCAAGACGCCTTGATGTTGCTGCGTCAGTTCAGTATCTTATTATAAATGAGTAAGACACATCAGAAGCGACAAACAGAAAATGCTTCTTTTCCTGGAGTTCAAGCTTTCATCAATGGAGTATTTTACTTAAAAGAAAATTTACCATCTTATTTAACTTTGTAATTCTAATTTTGCCAATTTTATTATACAAATTTGAAAATTGGTCCATAAGGAATAACTTGAAAAGGCCGCATTTGCTCACCTACAAGCCTTTATTGCTGATTTATATTGAGTGATTCACTAATCGATTTGTGGTTACAGTGGGTGGAGGAATTAAGAGGGAAGGAGGTCAAAGCGCAGCACCTAGCCCCGTCCCTTGACCACTTGCAATGTCATCACTGATTTGTTTCCACTTGAGTTTTATCATATCTACTCTTAAAGCTCCGCTCTGAATTTGCCTTCATCGCCCCCTCGCCCTAGTAGGGCAAACATCAGATGCAACAAGTGAAGTATCCAAAAAACAAAACAAAAAAAATTGCCTGAGTATTCACGGTGCTCTGGGCTTGCTGACGGCCTGGTCACAGACATGGAAGATGATTTTCATATTAACCTTGGTAACTGATAACACATTGGTTTACAAAGATGGGTGAAGAAACGCTTCAACATCACAAATCGTATAGGTCCTGGAACCCTGATTATTTCTAACATACAAATATAAATATAAGCTGGAAGAGACATGAGAGTGTCATAAAGTGACCTCAAAAATGCGTGAGACTTTTTTTTTTTAATGAGGTCACGTAAAACCTGTGTTGCGAGGTAAACTTTTTGTCCCTGACTGACTTCCATGTATGTCAGAGTTTTTGAAATTTTAAAGTTTCTAATATTATGGTCATGTTCAGTGAGAACGAGATGTGCCTAACACAGTTCAGAAGTACACAAGCGTTCTTAAGTCATACCTCTGGCAGAGACTTCGAGGTTCATTAGGCGGACTGGAAACAACTGACAATATGGCAGGGACAGAATGTTTAAGAGATGGATAATAGGAGCAAGACGCAGAGCTGGATGTTGAAAACTCAGGTGAGTTATGGAAATGATACAAAACCTTAGAGTTTTCAGGAAGATTGAAGTATTACTTAAGGAATCCAAACATGGATTTAAAAAGAATTACGACAAGCCTCTTTAAGTCAGCATAGAATGGACCTAGTAGCGACCAGCGAAGAGGTAAGAAAATGAGCTGTGACTCGGCGTCTGCAACCATATACAGGTGAGTTCATATAAGTGAATACTCAGACACACACACACACACACACACACACACACATAAGGAGAGCAGTCGTAGAGCCAGAAACGAATATGCACAGATAAGAAGGGAGGCCCAACGTCAATATGAAAACGACATAGCAGCAAAAGCCAAATCTGACCCGAAGCTGTTATACAGCCACATCAGGAAGAAAACAACCGTCAAGGACCAGGTAATCAGGCTAAGGAAGGAAGGAGGAGAGACAACAAGAAATGACAGTGAAGTATGTGAGGAACTCAACAAGAGATTCAAAGAAGTGTTCACAGAGGAGACAGAAGGGGCTCCAGAAAGACGGAGAGGTGGGGTACACCACCATGTACTGGACACAGTACACACAACGAGGAAGAAGTGAAGAGGCTTCTGAGTGAGCTAGATACCTCAAAGGCAATGGGGCCAGATAACATCTCTCCATGGGTCCTGAGAGAGGGAGCAGAGGCGCTATGTGTACCCCTAACAACAATATTCAATACATCTATCGAAACAGGGAGATTGCCTGAGGCATGGAAGACAGCAAATGTGTACCAATCTTTAAAAAAAGGGGACAGACATGAAGCACTAAACTACAGACCAGTGTCACTGACATGTATAGCATGCAAAATCATGGAAAAGATTGTCAGGAGAAGAATGGTGGAACATCTAGAAAGGAATGATCTCATCAACAGCAGACAACATGGTTTCAGAGACGGGAAATCCTGTGTCACAAACCTACTGGAGTTCTATGACATGGTGACAGCAGTAAGACAAGAGAGAGAGGGGTGGGTGGATTGCATTTTCTTAGACTGCAAGAAGGCGTTTGACACAGTACCACACAAGAGATTAGTGAAAAAACTGGAGGACCAAGCAGGAATAACAAGGAAGGCACTGCAATGGATCAGGGAATACTTGTCAGGAAGACAGCAGCGAGTAATGGTACGAGGCGAGGTGTCAGAGTGGGCACCTGTGACCAGCGGGGTCCCACAGGGGTCAGTCCTAGGACCAGTGCTGTTTCTGGTATTTGTGAACGACATGACGGAAGGAATAAACTCCGAGGTGTCACTGTTTGCAGATGACGTGAAGTTGATGAGAAGAGCTCATTCGATCGAAGACCAGGCAGAAATACAAAGGGATCTGGACAGGCTGCAGACCTGGTCCAGCAACTGGCTCCTGGAGTTCAATCCCACCAAGTGCAAAGTCATGAGGATTGGGGAAGGGCAAAGAAGACCGCAGATGGAGTACAGTCTAGGGGGTCAGAGACTACAAACATCACTCAAGGAAAAAGATCTTGGGGTGAGTATAACACCAGCACATCTCCTGAAGCGCACATCAACCAAATAACTGCTGCAGCATATGGGCGACTAGCAAACCTCAGAACAGCATTCAGACATCTTAATAAGGAATCGTTCAGGACCCTGTACACCGTGTACGTTAGGCCCATATTGGAGTATGCGGCACCAGTTTGGAACCCACACCTACCCAAGCATGTAAAGAAACTAGAGAAAGTGCAAAGGTTTGCAACAAGACTAGTCCCAGAGCTAAGAGGTATGTCCTATGAGGAGAGGTTAAGGGAAATCAACCTGACGACACTGGAGGACAGGAGAGATAGGGGGGACATGATAACGACTTACAAAATACTGAGAGGAATTGACAAGGTGGACAAAGACAGGATGTTCCAGAGACTGAACACAGTAACAAGGGGACACAGTTGGAAGTTGAAGACACAGATGAATCAAAGGGATGTTAGGAAGTATTTCTTCAGCCACAGAGTAGTCAGGAAGTGAAATAGTTTAGGAAGCGATGTAGTGGAGTCAGGATCCATACATAGCTTTAAGCAGAGGTACGATAAAGCTCATGGTTCACGGAGAGTGACCTAGTAGCGACCAGTGAAGAGGCGGGGCCAGGAGCTTGGACTCGACCCCTGCAACCTCAACTAGGGGAGACCTAGGTGAGTACACACACACACACAAACACACAAAGACACACACAAACAAACACAAACAAACAAACAAACAAACAAACAAACAAAACAACAAATACACGCACACACAAACACGCAAACACACCCACATACACACACAAATAAACATGCACATACGCACATACAAACACACACACACACACACACACACACACACACACACACACACACACACACACACGCACACGCACACACACACACACACACAATCACACACACTCAAACACCCAATGGAAAACGAGGCAAGACTTATGCTAAGGGCCTATTAGTTCGTCAAGCAAGGCCGAGGAACGAAGGGGGCGAGGTGTTGGGTGCAGTGATAGCAATCAGTGATGGGGAAGCAGATAGAAAAGATGACAGGTCCTATGCAGAGGCATGACCAAGCCACCAAGAGTTACAGGAGTAAATAAGAGAGACGATGGCTATGTACAAATTGGACACAGAGACACAGAGGGAAATGCAATGGAAGGAAGAGAGGGAGAGGTCAGTGTTTATTCATGTGCTTCAGTAGAGTGAAGGGAGGACACACAATGAAAGATGACAGAAGGAAAAACAAGAGAATGAAAACATCATCAATGAAATAGATGAGGAAGATATGTCTGAGATAATAAATTTTCAGGGAATAAAGGGGTACTCAAAGAGGAGAAATTGGCTAGTCAGACTGATTTTCAAGACAGAAATGGTGTGGAATAGGATTCTGCAAGAGAAACCACGGCTGAAGGAAACATCATAAAAGGGTGTTCGTAGACCACGACAGAAGGAGAACAGAACGACAGCAACTGAAGGAGAGGACACAGAAACGAAAGGCGTTAGAAAAAGAGACAAGCTAGAGTCAGCAGTGGGCAACCTGAGACAGGCAGAGCAATAAGCACTAAACACACAAAGAACCACCTTCAGAACCCCACAGCCAAACACAATACAAATCACAATACAATTCACAATCCACACTCACAGCCCCCACCCAACACTCTGCTGTAGAATCCCATAGCCCCCAGGTCCCCCACTCCCCCAACCTCCACAAACCCCCGAGAATACAGTGTTGAAGAGGAAACTGAGGATATGGTACACAAACGCTGATGGAATAACGAATAAGTGGGAGGAGTGGCATGAGAGAACCACAGATTCATCACCAAACATCATAACTCTCACAGAAACCATGCTCACAGGAATGATAACAGATGCCATCTTTTCAACTGGATAACAGATCCTGAGGAAAGACAGAGGGAACAGGGGAGGTGGAGGAGTGGCACTGTTCATCAAAAATCAATGGGAGTTTGAAGAGCTGGAAAGAGGAGACAGAGGAGAAGGAAGGAACTGCATAATAGGAACACTTCAGAGTAGAGGTTCCAAAGTGGTAATTGCAATGATGAATAAACCAGTCTCAAGTTTGTCGTGAAGTGGAATGATCTGGATTTAATTAAAAAGTTGTGACGGCTGGTCCTCCACCGTCAATAGAACTGACATGGAAAGGTTAGGTGATTTATTAGATATAAAGCGTACCGACTACATGAGGGGTTATTAAGGCCTAATGTAGCCTGTACTCCAGTACAGTAATCAAAGATTAATTATTGCTTACAAAAGGAAGTGGAGTAGGAAACAGAATAAACTCTATTTCAGCGCAAGTGTAGTAGAGGTTCGATCTCCCTTCCATTAATCGCAACCTGGTCTCCGACAACTCAGGCTGTTGGTGCTCGTATGGCAACAGAATATCTGGAGAGCCTTCAGGAACCTTAATTAAGGTAGTTTCCAGTAATATGACTCGAGTAGCATTGCTCACTATTTTTCCGGTCAATGAGGCTGCTGTCATTCAATTCCCTTGAGTGTGACAAAACTCTAAAGCCAAAATTTCTAAAAGTGTTAGTCCATACAAATGTTATTAATATATATTTAAGTATAATATGTCATTGCTTTTAGTATCATGTTATTAACGGTAAATAATGCTGACAACTTGACGAGTAATACCCAATGACAACTTTAACACTCGGTATTGCCTATAAGTTTCGACTGCACTGCCGGCTTCATCGTTTAACGATTACAGACTTCAGCACTTGTGGAAGACGAAGTAGACAAAGTGAGAGGTAGCCCAATGATTTAGCAAATGACCAGAGGCTTACATACTGGAAGGTGAGATGTAGCACCCTGGAGATGAGGATACCGATGAACTGGACCATCCAGTGGAAGTAGGTCAGGCTAAACTGTTGACTACAGTAGAATTACCGAGTACATCCTTAATAACTTTATCCTTGTCTGACACTACATAATTATGGTTTTTTGGTGCCAGGGATGTCTTCGGCAACTGTGTTGCTAACTACTTCCACTAGTGAGCCAAGGTCGTTTGTGACCTCAACCCCAAGCTCCTACACCTCACTTCCCAGAATTAAAGCATCTGGCTACTTGCCTCTAAATTAGGCTAAGAGGCTTATTATCTTTTTCCAATAGTGAAGGATTGATTACATCGGTTACCTCTCTAGGTAGTCGTCCACCATTGCTGATGTCTTTGTAATCGACTGATGAAGTCTGCAGCGATAGTGAAACGTTTTGTCTATAAAGATTCCTAATGTTACACGTGTCTCCTATTCTTCATTGTTATCCATAACAGCGGTAATGGACAATATATACAAAACTACATCAAGTTTAATCGTCTCTCAATCCATTTCCTAATTACTTGCATTAAATACCCTGAAGCCTGTGTGTCACATGCATATGATTCTAGGAACCAAGGGGTTACAGTTAAACTTCTGTGGATTCCCTTTCTCACAGGCTTCCCGAAACGATTTAAAAATCATTGTTAGAAAATATCAAAGAAACAAGATTGAGGAATACACAAATAACCTGTGACATTGTAAATGGTCCAAGTCGAACCGCAACGTCGTCGTAAGCTCCTTTCTCCTATGTGCAGGTTGTTTGTGTATTGTTCCAGTCACGGTAATGAGCCTTCGTGTTCTTTCAGTTTGAAGAAGCAGAACAGTTTAGATAAGAATTAACCGACCATATTACCTATCGTAATCAAATGCGTCAAGAAAAAAAATATCCACTGAGAAAGTTACAACCTCAGCAGAGTCCAAGAAGTTGTCACTGTCAGACTAAAACTATGATATGTGAAACTATGACAGTAAAATTGTATGGACATGCCAATCACCTAGTTGCAGTCAACAGTTTAAAAGTTTTTGCAGAAGCTGTTCATTGTATTAATGTACTACAATAGTCATGCTATTTATAGGGACAAAAGTCCATACGAATAGCAAGAAATAAGTAAGTCATCCAGTATGTAATTTCTTATTAATTGTTAATATCAAAGAGTCAGGTGGCAGCCACAAAATCCCACATAAGTAATTCTGTATTAAGATCATGTCTTATAATGTTAGTATTAGTTATTTGATAGAAATCCTATTTTATTTGTTGTTTATTCACTTTTTAGTTCATTTATGTAAAGGACTTAAGATCTGAAGGTCTTAAGGTCTGTTGTTCCTGTGGCTCTTCGATTACAGTTGGTATACACTTAATAAATCAGAGACTTAAAACAGGAGAATTGACAAAAAAAAGTATTTTAGCAATAGACCATAACATGCATGGCAATTCTGTCTTCAATAAATGGTTTAGAAAACCGTGAAGTTGATAAATGAAACACTTTTGCAAGATCTGGATATCTTTATTCTGGAAACGTTTCGCCAGCCAGTGACTTCTTCAGTCTAATGCATATAAAGGAGGAAGATGAGGAGGAGTTTCAGATAATCAGTCCCTCAACCTGAAGTCGATGTGTTCAATCCATCAATCTTGATAAAAATGTAGAATATTCTTGGAGATGGAGCGTAAATGCTGATGACAGATTAGGTGGAGCAGTGCTAGGCGATGTCACCAGTTGAGAAACCCACTAGTGGAAGTAGGTCGTGCATATAGATTAGACAAGTTTTAAAGAATTCCTTGAATCAAGATCCCAAGATGTTGCTGTCTCTGGCAGTTTAGTTCATGAAAGCTAGCAAAATCTATAGGCACGACCTACCGCTCCTAGTGGGTTTCTCCACTGGTGGCTCCGCCTACCACTGCTCCGCTTCATCTGTCATCAGTATATAAGCGCCATCTCCATGAATATGTTTCACTTTTATCAAGATTGATGGACTGAACACAGCGACTTCAGGCTGAGGGACTGATTACTTCAAATTTCTCAGCCTCCACCTTTCTCTGCGTTAGACTGAAGAAGTCACTGGCTGGCGAAATGTTTCCAGAATATAAATATACAAATGTTTCGCAAGTGCCCCACTTATCAACATTGGATAATGAAAATGATGATTAATAATACAAATTGCAAATAATGTTTAATTTATCAGTACATCAAAATACTTGTATAACCTTTTTTTTTTACAAAATATTGTTAGTAGTAGTATATGAGCCATATTATTCTTTAAATATACTTTATTTTCTTGCGCCTGGCGAGAGGAAAACATACCATCACTGGGCGGACGTTCTCATTTTCGTTAGTGTGACTTTGTAAATGGTCCAAGTCGGACCAAAACGTCGTCGTAAGCTCCTTTCTCCTATTTGCGGGTTATTTGTGTATGATGACAAGTGAACTCTGGTTACACTCTCTATATACTCTATACACCTTACAGTATACATACTCGTGTATGAAGTTAGGAGAGCGTGAACAAAACAATGCAAGATACAAGGCGACTGCAGGAAATATGAGAGCATGTTGTTTCAGTATTTAAGAAAAGATAGGAGAGGTGACGTTAAACTGCATGCCAGCTTCATCGGCATGTATATCACGTAAGGTAATAGTGAAGATATAATGTCAGTGGTGGTGAGCTTTTAGAAGAAGTTTCATAACTAGAAACTAGCAATAAATTATAGGCTGTGAATCCTGTCTCAAAAAACTGCTGACGATCTTTGACAACACTGTAGTACTGAGTACTACAACAGGAGTGAGAGAAATGTTTAGATTGCTTATTCTCTGACTTCAAACAGCATTTGAGAAATTTATTAATATCCCACACAGTGTTGCTTATGGTGTTCCACAAGGGCTGGCTTTGCAACCGGTACTGTTTCTGATGTATGTAAACGACAGTCTTAGAGAAACAGAGACCCTGTAGTAATGTTCTCAATTGATGTAAAAGAAATGATGAACATGTAAACAGGAACAGACAGCGAAATGCACATAGAAGCACTAGACAAACTCCAGGACTAGCATGACAACTGGGATTCAGTTCCATCAAATGCAGAGTTGAGAATAGGTGAATGGGAAAAAAACACTTGAAATTCTGAAAAGACTCCGAGCAGTAAATAGGACGGACAGGGATAGAATATCTGAGAGGCGGAGAATGAGTGTGCGAGAAAATAGTTTAACGTTGAAAAAGAAAATGAATCATGGGATGGATTGAAATATGTTTGAGCCTCTGGGTGGTGATGAAGAAATACTTGATTCGGACTCCGTCATTTGCTTTACAAACTTTGGGTAGCATTGAGAATGTGTTGACCAAATATTTCAGTTGGAAGAGTTAAATTTGAGAAAGTTCTGCCTAGTATAGGCTACCAGGCCTAGTACAATTGTTGTCTTTACTTATGTTGTTAAATACTGAATTAATAAATAACAAACAGCCACAATACCATGACTGGAACAATACACAAATAACCCCCACACAGGAGAGAGGAGCTTACGACGACGTTTCGGTCTGACTTTGTAAATGGTTCAAGTCGGACCGAAACGTCGTCTTAAGCTCCTCTCTCTCATGTGCGGGTTATTTGTGTATTGAATTAATCTGGTGTATGGCGCGAGGAGAAAATATTCTCAGTCAGAAAGTGAGATTAGATTTTTGAGAGACGATCTCTTTAAACATAAATAACAGAGTATAAATAGGTGATTACGCAATCACTCATTTATTTATTTATTTATTTATTATTTATTTATTTAGAAATTTTAGCATACATACAGAGGTACAAAAAAAATACAGGTAAGAGCAGCATGCCAAAGCCACTTATATGCATAGCATTTCTTGAATTAATTTTAATTTCACTGATAATCAGGATAGTGTCGATGACGGAGGCTGGACTTTTCTTCCATTGGCTGAAAGGAGACGAACCAAATACCACTACATGTTATCGTACCTCCAGCAAGATCACAGTAAACGAAGCACTCTCTCTCAGTAATGTCTGGGTAATACTTACTTCTGTGTTTTCTAAACTAATGTCTCCTGTTTTCAGAACATTATTTACAGTGGATAACAAAACATATATTACAGAGATAAATGAAGGTGTTCTTGTGTAATATGATCAAGTTGATTCCAAATTTCAGCTTAAAACTGATGAAATTAAGACATGTGCAACATCTGGGTATCTTTATTGTAGACGTTTCGCCATCCAGTGGCTTTATCAATATAAATTCCAGGACATAACTTAAAGACAGTAGGACTATGTACAAAAGATGAGGTAATCAGTCCCTCAACCTTGGAGTAGGTGCGAAGATCACCGTAGTCGTGGAGATTCTGAAGCAGAAGCAAGGAGCCTGGCGCTTATATAGTAACGTCAGGTGTATTAGACGAGGGCAGAGTCACTGGTAGGCGGGATTCCCCAGTGGAAGTAGGTCCTTCCCAAAGAGATGGGTTAGTTGTAGTAGTAGTTGTCGTAGTCGTGAAGGTTATGTACATGTCCTTAAAATCAAGATTCCATGATGTTGCAGTGTCTGACAAGTTGTGTAAGAATGGTATATAATACCGACAAGATGAAATTGCTTCTGCTTCAGAATCTCCACGACTATGGTGCTCTTCGCACCTACTCCAAGGTTGAGGGACTGATTACCTCATCTTCTGTACATAGTCCTACTGTCTTTAAGTTATGTCCTGGAATTTGTATTAATAAACCCACTGGATGGCGAAACGTCTACAATAAAGATACCCAGATGTTGCACATGTGTGTTAATTTCATCTTGTCGGTATTACATACCATTCTTGCACATCTTAAAACTGAGCGAACACGTCAGGATTTTAAGTTATTGTAAAATATGTAATTTCAAGAGAAGTTTATTAATAAAATATGTTCCACCAAAATTTACATCACTGGTCATATAATAAGTCATATAATATTATTCCATATAAAGTAAGTGTGAAGGGCATTAAACAATATATTCTCACTGGAAGTAGAAAATATTTAAAAACTTAAGCATTTGTTTTTGCATTTATAACCAACAGTGATGTATCTTTGAAGAAACCAACGGCCGTCGTCTGTCATGTTGGAATTTAAGCACTCCTAACTGCATACTTACATTACGCTGAGATGCTCATCACTTTAAAAGAAACCCGAAATGGTTTTGGGAAAAAAAATCCACTTGGAATTGAAAAAAAAGGGGTTTTCCTGGGGCATTTCGGCCAAAAACCCGTTTTTCTACAGGATTTTTATCTGTTTTGGACGACCCCTTTTGGGTAATTTTTTGCTTTTGTACCCTTCCCGGGAAATTCTGGACAATTGTTTGGGAAAACTTTCCATGCAAGGGTACCCCTAGTAGTGATGGGCTGAGTCAGATACTAGTTAACCCTATCTCGCCAAAAAAAAATTCTCCAGCCCCTTTAAATTTTTTCCCCTTCCCCGGGTTTTAAAAAAAAAAAGGGTTTTAAATTTTTTCCCTTTTAAATTTTAAAAAAAAATTTTCACCTACACATTTCAATAGGCCCAACTTTAAAATTTCAGTGGTGGAAAATTTTGAGGGAAAACATCAGTGGGTTATGTAGTAAATTTAAATTTTTTGCCGTTCTTTGATCATGTGGTGGTTAGCATTTGTCACGACTTTTCCACAAATAAAAGGAGCAAATTTCCCTTTTGGGTTTAACCAAAAATCGTTGTATTTTGTTATTTAGAATAGAATTACCACGGGTTTTTTTTGTTTCCCCTTAAAACCCACAGTTTTAAAACAGTGGCACGATGGTTTTTCGTTGTTGGGTTTTGGGGAAAAATCATTGCTTTTTAAAATAACCTTGCTGGGGTCGATGAATGTCTCAGTTGGGTCTTTAAAGGTGTTCACAGGAACATTTACTCCCCCAAAACAATTTTTCATTTGTTTAAAATATTCACCCCCATCCCCCTTTTTGGGTTTAATTCCGCCGGGGCTAAATATTGCGGGTTTTTACAAAACCCTGAATTTTTTTATTTTTTTGCAGAAAGATTCGGGCTCTTGTAAGCGTGTTTTTTGTGTGATGGCCCAAAAAAAAACCCGACAAGGGGCATTTAAGTCTTGTAAGAGTGATTAAATGAAGGTGTTTTTAAAAAAATTTTCAATTTGGGGGTTTATAAAGACCAGTTTTTTTTTAGTTCCTTAACTACTGTCCGTTTGTGTCTTAAGCAAGAGCGGGGAAAAGGTTTTATGCAGTGCAATTTTCCACCATATTTGCAGTGTCCACAAATATAGTAGTGTTTAAGTGTTTCCCCCACTAACAAATGCCAAAGTGTCCCCACTATAGGGAGTGTCCCCATTTAGTAAATTTTCAAGTGTCCACACTATAAACTGTGTCAAGTGTCCACACTATAGCAGTGTTTAAATGTCCCACACTTTTAGCAGTGTCAAGTGTCCACCTATAGCAGTGTCAAGTGTTTTCCCAAATTTTTGCGTGTCCACACTATTTGCGTGTCCCCCCCTATGCAGTGTCCACAAATATAGCAGTGTCCCAAATGTCCACACCAAAAGCAGGTTTTCGTGTACCCCACTTATTGCAGTGTCCACACTTAGCCCGTGTAAACCTTTTAAACAGTGTCCAACTATGCAGTTTTCCAAAAAAATAGAAAAGGTTTTCCCCCACATAGCAGTGTCCACACTATAGTTTGGGGTCCACACTAGCAGTGTCCAACTATTTCTAAAGTCCCCCACTTTTAGCAGTGGCCAAAACTATAGCAGGGGTCCACACTTTACAGTGTCCCACTGTAGCAGTGTCCACACTTTAGGGAGTGTTTCCCAAATATGCATGTTCACACTTAGAGAGTCCCCATATAGCACTGTACACATATAGGGGAGAGTTCCCACTTTTAGCAGTGTTTTACCTATAGCCCCTGTTCACACTATTGCAGGGGTCCCCGATATAGCAGTGTTCACACTTAGCACGGGTTTACATATAGCAGAGTACAAAACCCATAGCATGTCCCCACTATAGCGGTCCAAACTATACAGTGTTTTACACTATAGCACGGTCCCACTTTTAGCAGGGGTCCACACTATAGCAGTGTTCACCCCTATAGGGAATTTTTCACCCCCTATGCACCCGTCCCCCCCCATAGCAGAGTTTCCCAAAATTTTGCACTGTTACACTATAGCGGTCCACACTTTAGCATCTCCCATATAGCAGAAATCCCACTATAGCAGAGTCCACACTATCCCCTGTCCCCATGTAGCAGCGTCCACACTTTTACCAACTGTCCACAAATAAAGCAGTGTCCCTTTTTAGCAGGTCCCCCCTTTTAGTTGTGTCCCCACTATAGCAGAGTCCACACTGTTTCAAATGTCCCACAATAGCCCGTGTCCACACCCATAGCACTGTCCACACTATTTGCAGAGTCCACACTTTAGGGAGAAAATCCACCATATAAAAGAGCCCACTGTAGGGAGGGGTCCCCCATATGCAGTGTCCACACTATAGCAGGGCCCACACTGTAGCAGAGTTTTCCCCCACTATAGCGTGTCCACACTATAGCACTTTCCCCATTTTAAACAAGGGTCCACACTATAGCAAATTGTCCAAAAATATTTGCAGAGTACACATATTGCACTGTCCACACTTAGCAATGTCCCCCCTATTGAGAAAACCACTCTTTAGCCTTTTTCCAAATATTGCAAAAGTCACACTATAGCAGGTCCACACTATTGCAGAGTCCACGTTTACAGTGTCCACAAATACGCAGTGTCCATTTCTATAGCAGTGTCCACACTATGCAGAGTCCACTCTTCAGGGGTGTCCCCATTTTTAGCTGTGTCCACAAACCCCAGCAGTGTTTTACACCATAGAAAAGTCCACACTGTAGCAGGTTTCCCCACTATAAACAGAGTCCACGCTTAAGGGAGTGTCCACACTACAGCTGTCCATGCTATAGCAGTGTCCACACTATTGCAGGAGTCCACTCTACGGAGTTTTCCCATTATGCGGGGGTCCACCCACCCGCAGTGTCTACACCAAAGCAAAGTCCCCAAATTTTAGCAAAAGTCCAACCCCCCATTTTTCAAAAGGGCCACGCCCTTTTTCCGTGTCCACACTACAGCAGTTTTCCATTTTACCGCCCGTGCCCACTTAGCAGGGGTCCACTCTAAAAGGGTGTCCACACTATAGCAGTGTCCACACCCTAGCAGTGTTTTCACCACAGCAAATTCCCACTATAGGAGGGAAAACAAATATAGCAGGTACACATATTGCCTGTCCACACTATTGGGAATTTTCCACATATAGCAGAATCAAAACTTTAGCAGTGTTCAAAAATATAGCAGAAGGGCCACACTATAGCAGAATCCAAAAAATTTTGCAGTGTCCACACTGTAGCCCGGGGGTCCACCTATAGCGAGTCCACAATATACCCGTGTCTACAAACAACAGAAATCCAACTATACCAGGGGTCCACCCCTTTTTCAAATTTTCCAAAACTTTTACGTGTCCCCTTTCAATAACAAAAGTCCCACACTATAGCAGTTGTCCCAAAACTTTTTGCCAAAAGGTTTCCACTTTGGGAGTGTCCACACTTTAATTTGCCGGGGTCCCCACTATAGCAGAAATCCACACTATTGCGGGGGTCCCCCACTATGGCAGTGTCCCAAAATATAGATAGTCCATACTATAGCAGTGTCCCACAATTTTAGCAGTGTCCCCCCACTATACGTGTTCACCCTATGGCCCTGTTTCCCACTTTTGCAGGGTCGACCTTTTAGCAGTGTTTCCCCACTTTGGGAAAAGTCCCAACCATAGCAGTGTCCACATCTAGCAGTTTTCCCCCAAAATTAGGGAGTGTCCAAATTATAGGGAGTGTCCACACTTTTGCATGTTCACAATATAGGGTGCCACCCTATAAAAAGTGTCCAACCTATAGCAGTGTACACTTTTTAGCCCGGAGTCCACACTCTTGCAAGGGTCCACACTATAACGTGTCCACACTACAAACAGAGTCCCCCCACTTTTTGCAGTGTCCCACTTGGGA